AAAAAAAAACCGGTATGCTTCGTGGGTAGAGAGAAGGTCCGTAGATCCGCCATCTTGGAAAGGAATCAGAAACCATGAAACGTCCTTCGCGTTTCTGGCACGAATCTTCTCCCTCGAATAAAAAAACATACATCCGACTATCGGGGATCGAAGATCGAACACACGCGTGTCGTCGGGACTAAAACGAAGCGACAAAATCGGGGCAAAAATGTCGCCCAAAAAATGGTCCACGTCGGGACCAATGTCTCGTGGTAATAAATGTGAGTGGATATATGCTCGTGTTCTGAGGTGTGCACACGGTGAATGAGAATTCTGGAAGATCTATCTGGAAACATAGTCTAGAGTATCGGCGAAGAGAAAACCGGGTCGGCAAATCAAAATTCTTGTTTTTTTTCTCTTTTTTTTTTGTGTTCACGTGTACCATCGAGCTCCTCGGCCGCCTCGTGTTCGACGTTCCTGTGGTCCCTGTGACGGCCCTGCTTGCGCTGATTTTTTGCCTGACACAACTCGCAAAGCGTTCTGTTCCCTGCGGCATTAGCAGACAACGTGTACAGTCTCGGGCGTACGGACGAGACCAGGGGGGGATGAATAGAAGATTGGCCAATAGCAACGTGACAACGACAGAGAGAAAGAGACACGGACGGACAATAAACGATTCGGCTCGATTAATCGTTGTTTGCGACACATTAAGCCTGACAAATTAAGCGCAAGACAACACGACGACGCTTCGTCGTGATCTATGTACATTGAGTTCGCGGGACGTTTCTTTTCTTTTTTTTTTTTTGTTCTGGCTCGACAACGTTGCTTCCAGAGCAGGAATTAATTCACGCAGACAAGTTGCTGGCTGCGGTCAGCAGTTAATCTTTAGCGATTAGAGGGAAATCGGAACGGACAGAGGAATTCGTCTTGGAAGGATGAAGGGAATGGGTATGGTGGTGGAAATTTTCTCCAAGTACTAACGATTCTTGAATTATTGAAATGATTGTTCTCAAAAAGATTTGAAATAGCATAGGAAAAATTGCATGAAATATCACGAAAAGAAAAGATTATATTATGTATTACGTTTAATAATTTCGAATGAATTTTTCTTTACTGAACGTCAACAAAGAAATATGACGCTATATGAGAAAAATGTTTGAAAATTTTTGTTGTACCGTCTACTCAAATTTCACTGAAGTCAGCGTTCAAAAGAAAGAGAGAAAATGGAGTAAAATGGAATGTAGACTGGAAAGGAGTATATATTAATGTTGGAATACAGTGCCACGCAACAGGCTAGTGATACATTCCAAAAAAAAAGGACTGTCAGACTTACAGAAGTACACCGCCAGTGATTCCGATTCTCTAATCAAATTCAGAAGGTCCTCTCCTTCCAAATCTTCGATTACCTCTCCGGATGGATCCTTCTGCGTCATCAGCCACTGGAGAATTTGCTCTTCGTCATACAAATCACCTACGATAAACGATAACAGATTCCAATTACGAAAAGAATAATCGTTAAAGGTGTCCAATTCCAACAGGAGTTTCGATAGTTACCTGCATAAATGACTGGTTCCTTCGAGGACATTTTGAAGAACAAAATGGCGGGCAGCGCGAACACGCCGTATTGCTTGGACAGTTGTTTGTCGTCGATCTTGACGAACTTGATTCCCGCTCCGTCAGCTTCGTCATCGATGTGCTCGATCTCTGCCAGCACTCTGCCACACTGTTTGCAGTCGTTGCTGTCTAAACATACGCGCGCCACCGCGTTCGAAACGCTCGAAATTCTCATTTTATTTAGTAAATTAAAGTATCATAGTACAGGCTCCTTTCGATTATTGTCTGGCTTCTTCTACACGATTTCTGTCCAGGCGTTATCCCCCTCACTGGGAGGGGAAGGGGGATGGAACTCAGTCAAATGCAAAACTCGAGCTTCGTACAAAAAATTTTGTATGTAAATTCGAAGAATATAAAAAAAGAATTTCCGAGGGACTGAATCATTTCTCCCTACAAGATTATTGTCTCGGCGCGGATCGAGTTCGGGACAATAATCGACAGTAGTCTGTACCGCGCTCTAACTGGAATATTTTCATTGAAACAACACATCCTCGAATATCGAAAGGAGAAATATAATGGATTCAGCTCAACGGTTCGAAGTGGTCCAGAAATGTTGAATTTCACATGGAACCCTAAATCTAGAAAATACATTGTTACGCTGGATACATTTAACTCGAACTCGATACTCACAGAAGAACACAGCCAGGTAATCGGTCGTCTGTCGTATTTTGTGGAACATCTTCTTGTTGATACGCTCGATGTGATCGGTGAGCTCCATGTTCTCGGGATTGGTCAGCCAATCGAGGATCTCCTCTTCGTCGTCTATGTCCCCGTCGTAGTTGATGTTTTTACCCTTCCGGAAGTACGTGATCCCCGGCGGGTTCCGGAATCCGTACTTCTTCGCCATCAGACGATCCTTCATCCGGACGATCTTTATCCCGTACTCAGCAGCCTCGTCGTCGATCAGCTCGACGTGCCGGAGCACACGGGGACTCTCTGGATCCTCCTCCTTGTCTACGGAACCGAGACAACGCCTTTCGTTTCGAATCGATGGATTATCGACCGTTTAATTGTCTTTTAGTTTATATTCTTCGCGAAGAAGTTAGATGATTCTCTTAGATGAACAAGTATTAAACGCGAGGATTTTTTATTTATGTAGCGAAACACTTTGAGATGAATTAACAGGGGGATTTTTGGAGGAAATCTACGGATTTCGTTAATTTTTCTGTGATTCTAGATTTTCCAATTTACTCCATGAAAATGGAAATTTGTACAAGTATTTAATAATTATAAGACATGAAACGATAAATGAAGTCCTATGGTTCACGGCAGTTCAGCTCGTGATATTCGTGTTCGTAGGTTCGTAAGATTCTATATTGATATCTTGATTGATTATTTAGTTATTAGATCCTACTTACCCGTTACGATTGTATTAAAAATCGATTAACCGCTGGGTGAAGAAGATGACTGTATCAACTTACTGCGGGGGACACGCGACGATCTCGTGTTAGCTTTTGAACAACGTGGGAATGAGAATAATGTCTTACAGAAAATGACAGCCAGGAATTCTTTCGTCTCGATATACTTGGCAAGGGTGTCACGATCGATCTCCTCGATGCTCTCGTCCGTCTTCTGTTTCACCATCCAATCGAGCACCTCGCTCTCGTCGAGCAGATTACCTGAGTTATCATACATTTCCACAGAATGTACTTTGATCCTAATGGAAAAGCCCACCCTCCCCCTATCGATCGAATCGGAAAATCCTCCCTCCGTTAACGAATCGGAAAATAATTTACGGAAGATTTCATTAAAAGGGGAGAGCAGACCAACGGATCCCCGGTGGTTTTATTATAATTCTCCGTTCAAGAAACATTCATTTACAAACGATCTGGAATGGCTATTCGTTACGATTTATCACGAATCCAGGAGATTTCTGGGAACTTACCCTGCGGCGACTCGCAACACGCTGTCGAGAAGTAGCGAGACAGAACGTTTCGTCATAAATGGAAGGATCAGCTTCCAGGATACGTGAACTCTGATCTCGGTCGAATTTGGACCTCGATTTATGTCGAAAGTTTTCATGCAAATGTGTCGTATGTGAATCGAGTTTCGATGAAACGTGTCTTCCCGTGCGTTGTTCGACAGAGTACCAAAAGCGTGTCGCTAACAAGCCTCTGAGTTAGCTTCACATAAGACTTATAGTAATCTACCAAAAAATGTGATCTTAATGAGGTGCAATTCGTATTACTGGACTCGTACAGCGGAAAGATGATTTCTTTTTTTCTTTTTTTTTTTTTTTTTGACTAATCAGATTCGGTGCGTGTTTTTTGGAGAAATTACGGGCGATACGTGGGAGGGTACGGGTTCTACGGCTACCATTAGCAGTAACGGGCGAAGCAAGTACAAAGGATACTAATTGGTACTAGGAAACAATATTTATTATCGAGTTTATTGTCGTACATGTTGCTCTTATGCGATTAAACGAGGACGCCGGGTATGCTCGGCGGCCCTTGTGTCGGCAAAACTTGCGCAAACGTTCACGAGCAATTTGAAGAAAACCTCGTGCCCTGATAATCGCGATCACAGACGCAGCGCGATAATTAAAAACCATGATGTAATTGTTTGTGTGAAATCCGATCGATTGTTCACTTTCTTTTTGATTGATCATTCGAGAAAAAAAAAATAAATAACTCTGTCAAGATATATTTCTGGTTTCAAGTATAGAATTGGATTGGAATTGATAAAAAGAAAATCGTTTCTTCCGACAGCAGTACGCGCTTTTGCATTGACGGATTAATTATCGCGCCCAGAGCTCGGTGACCGTGACACACACGAGTACAGGTGTCCACGCGAAGTAGTTTGTACAGATTATCAGCACTATCGGAGGTACAACGAAATCAACAAATAAAGTATACTCGTATAAATAAATAAATAAATAAATAAATAAATAAATAAACAGGTGAGCGTTCTCCCGGTGTCTTTCCGTGTCGGGCCCGCGTGGACCGCTCGAAAAGAGAGAGAGAGAGAAAAAAAGAACGAACAAGACTTGCGTATCGATCACTCATTTTTTCTTCCTTCTGTTCATTCCTTTTTTTCTTTTTTTTTTAGTTTTCGGTGAATTTTTTCCTCTTTTTTTTTTTGGTTCTTTCTAGTGCTGGCTCGTGCGGCCCAGTAAGCGATAAAGCGATTAGTGATTAGCTTGGCGTGAATAAGAAACGCACGTGTTCCTCGACGTTTTATTGTTGAGGAATTGAGGGTATGTTTATGTCGCCGGCCACGATGAGAGTAGCACTGGGTAAACGACAGCGTTCGTGTGTTGTTTTCTATATCGAATATATTATGTCGCGTTGTTCGTGATTAACCCGTGTGTGTATCCAACGTGCACACCAAAATTCGATTTCTCTGGTGTACTTTTTTCAGCTTGGGGATGGGCGTGGTTGCTTAGCGCACAGGACCCGAACGAAGCGCTTGAACTGATATATTTTCTCGGTTTTTCATCTGGCACAATGTTAAGAAAAACACAACCATCGTTTATTCCAATTCGACACGGATCGCCGTGATCGCCAAGTGACTACAATACGCAACTTTTGCCATCCGTTCAACTCTGACATAAACATACTCTGAGAGATCTGCAGATTGTATTCAGGAATTATTTACGCGAATTCATTCGTTTTAACCATGGAACACAATGCACGAGCGGTGGTATTCGATCTTTCTACGCGTTTGTTTCTACAACAAACAGAAAAAATCGTTTCGATTGTTCTTCGTCGAGTCAAGTTTTTGCTCGCGAATCGACGTTCCAGGGTTAAAACCAGCGGATCGATGTTCAATTAGACTGTTCGAAACGTCGCCACAACTCTAACGCCGCGAAATCTAGACGAAACACTACAAAACGTTCGGCAACAGATCGTTTCTACCCCCGAACGAGTCCGGCGGTCGTTGCGTTCACGCGCCCGTTACCGATGAAATGCAATGGAACAGCGGCGTTTCGTGTGTCGTCGCGACGCTGACAATGGGGTTGGCGAGGAGGTGTGAACAAAATGGCCGACATTCGATCGGCATTTTTTTCACCGTTTTTCGCGCGCACGTCACCGATGTGTCCGAGAGTACACGAATGACACGAGTATACACTGCGTGGCATAACTCTAAAACCACCCTGAACTTTTCAATTTTTATGTATTGTGGTTAAAATAAAAACGAACCAAGTACAGACTTTTCTCGATTATCGTCAGGCTTGTTCTACACGATTATTGTCTAGGCGTTATTCTCACCACTTAGGGGAGAGGGGGGCGTGGAATCTGTCAAGCATATACTTTGTTGCCCTTCCACTTGGCTTCGGGCAAAAAATGAATTTACCAGGGTATGAAGCGTTTCTTCCTATAAGATTATTGTCCTGGCGCGTAACCGAGTTCGGGACGATAATCGAGAGGAGTCTGTATGCCATATCTGAAGTCGTGTTGAGAAATAATATTTCTCCAGAAAAGGATATATTATATTCCCTAGAAGAAAAATAGTTCGTTTTCATTTTAACCACGGTACAGAAGGGTTGCAAATTCTAGGGTGATTTTATAGTAATGCCACGCAGCGTATAATTTACTTCTGCAAGTGAAATGCATCGGACCGGCAAGGTTTTAGAGCTGCGAACTCGGCGATACTTGAAACTCGAACTCCCGAACGTGACACGCGCGCGACGATGACGTTTTTAAATCGAGTTCGCAGGGTCCTGTTTCGATCGTTACAAAGAAACTCTAAGAAGAATCCATAACCGTTAAAGGTGAAAATCGTATCGAGGGACGTTTAATTTCTTTTGAAGAAAAAGAAAAAAAGGTAGTGAAGGTAGAGAGAGAGAGATAGAGAGAGAGAGAGAGAGAGAGAGAGAGAGAGAGATGTTTAACGTTACAGAAACCCTTACATGGGGGGTTGGGAAAAAAGGGCGCATGATTCATGATTCCGCGTCGTTCATGGATGGGACTAGACTCTGAATCTCGTGACTTGATGATCGATGGAGGAGATAAGATGATTGTACGTGTCGAACATGACGATATATATATATATATAATGATCGCTTTGGGTATTCGTGGATGACGATTAAATGACGATGGTGAGACGATGGCATCAGGAACAAGATCGTTCGACGAACGAAGAAACATTACTTTCTTTTTCTTTTTTTTTTTTTTTCTTTTCCTTTACGAGTAATTCTGAATGTTCAGTTCTTTGCTCTCGGTGTGTCGGTGTGTCTATCGGTCGATAGACGGGGTGTGGGGTGGTTCTCTTGGTGTGATTACCGGGTCTCGTCTCAGCTTTGCGTTTTCACGTTGCTCGCGGGCACTCTCTGTGTTCTCTTCCGATTCGTCCGTCGCCTCCGGCGATGCTTCTCCACACGATCACGTTAGACTTTCATGATGTACGGGAGCCCGGCCACAACTGCAACAGGCCACAAACCCGACCCAACTCTCAGTGGGATATAAGAAAAAAACTGTATCCTCCGATTCTCATCGCGGCTTTTCGAGACTGTTATTCGTTTTTTTTTTTTTAAGTCTCGTTTAAATTCGTTAGTTACACGACTGTTGATCTCGACGATAACGGTGTTAATCTATTCCCCAGTTCTTCTGAGACGGACGGTATATAATTCGGTGAATCGCGGCCGTGCTAACGTTAATCGTTTGTTTTTGTCTTTTGACGGATTCGATCGACGATTACAAGGTTTCGTGGACAGACACACACAGATTGCCGGGAAATTGGGTAGAGGATCGGTGGACGTCGCGACGGAGCTATAAACGATCTTCTGGTAATATTAATTTTCGAGTAATTTTGAAATTTTTCGACAGATGATGTCGATGGTATTCAAGACAGAATTGGTTATTTTAAAGTTGTGTTTACGGTTGAATTCATTCGTGATTATAGCTCCGTCATGTTTAACATAGACGTATAGCCGTCGCGAACGCTCGATTACGTTTACATTGTGGTCGATCGAACGTGTTAATAACTAGACTGTCGCGAAACATTTATATGTATGTATATATATATCCCGACGATTCCGAGGAATCCGAGGGACCCAGCCACCGGCTTCCATAGCACGTGTCTTGGATCGTCTTGCTCATCCAGAACTTGCGGCTCAGTGATTCTCTTCATGGACCGCGCGAGACACCTGTATTCGAGATACGAAGACGATTCGTCAGCCGGCCGAGTTTCTCAATCATCTTTACTTATTTTTTTTTTTTTTTTTTTTTGGCTCCAGACCCTCTTGACATCGGGTGTCACTGGCACTACGACTAAACCCCATCTACGTGCTTCCCTACGGTGCTGATTTCAAATCACTGCCCACCAGGTGTCGCGTGGACGTGTACACTACACGTCTCTTTCGCAACAGCATCCCACGTATGGGCGTTATCCGTGTCGACACCCAAATCCCTTTCGAACACTCGTCTAAAGAAATGCTCCGTTTCTCGGTATCGTCCGTTATCGTTTCGACGTCTTCGACCTGTCCTCGAGGATTCCCCAACCGTCTTCGAGACGATCGACACCGGATCCCAACGTCAGATCTTCCGTATTGCGTTCGACGATCGTGTGCGTACGACGACCGATCTCGGTTGTGGATTCCGCGTGGGCAGTGATTTAAATCGGCAATTGAATTCACTTTTTTACTTTTTTTTTTCTTTTACCACAGCCAGTTGAGATA